ATGTTGAATTTTATCAAAGGCCTTTTCTGCATCTATTGAGATAATCATGTGTTTTTGTCTTTGGTTCTGTTTATGTGATGGATTATATTTATTCATTTGTGTATGTTGAACCAGCCTTGCATCCCAGAGATGAAGCTGACTTAATTGTGGTGGATAAGTTTTTTGATGTGCTGCTGGATTCGGTTTGCCAGTATTTTATTGAGGATTTTTGCATCGATGTCATCAGGGATATTGGCCTGAAGTTTTCTTGTTTTGTTGTGTCTCTTCATGATTTTGGTATCAGAATGATGCTGGCTTCATAAAATGAGTTAGGGAGGAGTTCCTCCTTTTCAATTGTTTGGAATCATTTCAGAAGGAATGGTACCAGCTCCTTTTTGTATTTCTGGCAGAGTTCAGCTGTGAATCTGTTTGGTCCTGGGCTCTTTTTTTTTTTTTTTTGGTAGACTATTAATTACTGCCTCAATTTCAGAGCTTGTTATTGGTCTATTCAGGGATTCAACTTCTTCCTGGTTTAGTCTTGGTAGGGTGTATGCGACCAGGAATTTATCCATTTCTTCTAGATTTTCTAGTTTATTTGCATAGAGGTGTTTATAGTATTCTCTGATGGTAGTTTGTATTTCTGTGGGGTCAATGGTGATTTGATGCTTATCTCCCTTCTTCTTTATTAGTCTAGCTAGTGCTCTATCTATTTTGTTAATTTTTTCAAAAAACCAACTCCTGGATTGGGTACAGTGGCTCACGCCTGTAATAACAGCACTTGGGAGGCCAAGGTGGGCGGATCACGAGGTCAGGAGTTTGAGACCAGCCTGACCAGCATGATGAAACTCTCTCTACTAAAAATACAAAAAATTAGCCAGGCATGGTGGTGTGTGCCTGTAATCCCAGCTACTTGGGAGACTGAGGCAGGAGAATCACTTGAACTCAGGAGGCAGAGGTTGCAGTGAGCTGAGATCATGCTACTGCACTCCAACCTGGGCGATATAGCAAGACTCTGACTCAAAAACAACAACAACAACAACAGCTCCAGGATTCGCTGATTTTTTGGAGAGTTTTTCATATTTCTAGCTCCTTCAACTCTTCTTTGATCTTAGTTATTTCTTGTCTTCTGCTAGCTTTTGGATTAGTTTGCTCTTGCCTCTCTAGCTCTTTTAATTGTGATGTTAGGGTGTCGATTTGAGATCTTTCTAGCCTTCTTATGTGGGCATTTAGTGGTATAAATTTCTCTCTTACCACTGCTTTAGCTGTGTCCCAGAGATTCTGGTACATTGTCTCTTTGTTCTCATTGGTTTCAAACAACTTCTTGATTTCTGCTTTAATTTCATTATTTACCAAGGAGTCATCCAGGAGCAGGTTGTTCAATTTCCATGAAATTGTGTGGTTTTGAGTAAGTTTCTTAATCCTGAGTTCTAATTTGATTGCACTGTGGTCTCAGAGACCATTTGTTATGATTTCAGTTCTTCTGCATTTGCTGAGGAGTGTTTTACTTCCAATTATGTGGTCGATTTTAGAGTAAGTGCTATGTGGCACTGAAAAGAATGTATATTCTGTTGATTTGGGGTAGAAAGTTCTGTAGACATCTACTAGGTCCATTAGATCCAGAGCGGAGTTCAAGTTCTGAATATCCTTGTTAATTTTCTGTCTCATGGATCTGTCTAATACTGATAGTGGGGTGTTAAAGTCTCCCACTATTATTATGTGGGAGTCTAAGTCTCTTTGTAGGTCTCTAAGAACTTGTTTTATGATTCTGAGTGCTCCTGTATTGGTTGCGTATATATTTAGAATAGTTAGCTCTTCTTGTTGAATTGTTCCCTTTACCATTATGTAATGCCCTCCTTTGTCTTTTTTTGATCTTTGTTGGTTTAAAGTCTGTTTTGTCAGAGACAAGGATTGCAATCCCTGCTTTTTCTGGCTTTCCATTTGCTTTGTATATTTTCCTCCCTCCCTTTATTTTGAGCCTGTGTATGTCTTTGCATGTAAGATGGGTCTCCTGAACATAGCACACCAATGGGTCTTGACTCCTTATCCAATTTGCCAGTCTGTGTCTGTTAACTGGGGCATTTAGCCCATTTACATTTAAGGTTAGTATTGTTATGTGTGAGTCTCATCCTGTTATCATGATGCTATTTGATTATTTTGTGCACTAGATGATACAGTTTCTTCATAGTGTCATTGGTCTTTATATTTTGGTGTGTTTTTGCAGTGGCTGGTACCGGTTTTTCCTTTTCATATTTAGTGCTTCTTTCAGGAGCTCTTGTAGGGCAGGCCTGGTGGTAATGAAATCCCTCAGCATTTGCTTGTCTGGAAAGGATTTTATTTCTCCTTCGCTTATGAAGCTTAGTTTTGCTGGATATGAAATTCTGGGTCGAAAATTCTTTTCTTAAAGAATGTTGAATATTGGCCCCTAATCTCTTCTAGCTTGTAGTGTTTCTGCTGAGAGGTCCACTCTTAAACAGATAGGCTTCCCTTTGTAGGTAACCTGGCCTTTCTCTCTGGCTTGGCTTTTTTCCTTCATTTTTTCTAGTTTTTTCCAGTTTTTCCTTCATTTCAACCTTGGAGAATCTGATGATTATGTGTCTTGGAGTTGATCTTCTCGTGGAGTGTCTTAAGGGTGTTCTCTGTATTTCCTGAATTTGCATGTTGGCCTTTCTTGCTAGGTTGAGGAAGTTCTCCTGAATAATATCCTGAAGTGTGTTTTCCAGCTTATTTCCGGTCTCCCTGTCTCCTTCTTGTACTCCAATCAATCGTAGCAGAACCGTCACTTTGGAGTTAGATAAGTGTGCATTTCAATCCTGAATCTACTACTTATCAGTGGGTGATCCTGGAAAGATTACTTCATCTTCTATGCTTCAATTCCCTCATCTTAAGATATGGATAATAAGGATTACTGCTGGATAGGGTGATGAGTTAGTAAGATAACACATGCAAGCACTTAGCACAATGTCTGGCACTTAACAAGCACCCAATAATGTTACCCATTACTGTTGATGCTTCCTAACTTTCCTTTAACTATCTTCATTTCCCATCTGCAAACAACCTGGAATGCCTTGATCACCATTCTACCTTCTTGTTTAACCATTATGTAACAGCTTTTAACAATTAATCCATAATCAACAGTCTATAGGTTAACATACCAAAACAGAGATACTGTATACAAGAGATGCACCCCAGTTTTACCAAGGGGACAAAGGCCCAAAAGTTTTAGCTTCTTTTGAAGGATGGAAAAACCAGAACAGTAGTTCTTCTCATCTACATTTTCCAGTTCAGTCACTCTGCCAGAGTAGAAATGCAAATAATTTTTCAAGAAAGTCAACTGTTGGAGCAGCTAGCTACTAGACAAGCAGCCAATAAGAGTCTCTATTTTTTTTCCCACCATATGATCCTGGTAGAAAGTTACTGCAGAGCATATACACTCAATCAGGTTACTAGGAACCACCTAAAAGAGCAAGGTAAGTACACAGGGGTCTTTTGTTTTTTTTCTCAATCAACAGATCTATTAAGCCAATTACCCTTTCTTAGTCTTCATTTATTCGTCTATAAATTAAAGACATAAGACCAGATGATGCCTAACATCTTTTCCATATTAAGGAATTACAAATTCCTTAAGAATTAAAATAAAACAAATTGGAACTAGCCTTAACTATCCTAATTTTATCAGTTTTTAATATTTTTAAAATTTAAATATTTTATTATTTATATATTTTAATATATTTAATATAAAGTATTTTATTTAATATATTTAATATAGATAAAGTATTTTATTTAATTATTTAAATATTTTATTGTTTAAAATTTTTAACATTTTATTTTAATAAAATAAACATTAAGTACAAATGAACTTCATAAAATACTGGTCCCAATGACAAGTTCTTTCCTACTGTGGCAATAGGGTGAAGACTACTGGCTAAGAAAATATTTGATAATCTTTGTGATCACAGTGTTCAGCTTCTGCTCAAGCCTCTGACACTGGCCAGTGTCCACTGACCAATGTCTATCTGGAGCTGTAAAAGTAATCTCTTCTTAAATATTTGATGTCGTGTTCCCCTTTGGTCTTCTGAACAAATTCAGTGACTCCTTTTCCTTTCACAGGTGTATCTAAATCTCCTTATAGGTATATATTTTCCCTGTTTACTGTGACTTCTCTAGTTTTCAAACTCTGTATCTGAATCCTTTCAAATATATTTTTAACTTCCTTTATTGCTCCTCTTTCTTTTTCTAAATGTATACTTGAATCACTTTTCAAATGTATATTATCAGCCTTCTGCAGTAGGATTACTTATGAGTACAAAGGCCTCCCTTCTGTGGATCTCAAAATAATTTCTGGAAAGGTGTATGTAGGGAAATCTTAATTTGTATAAGAGAGAACCTGTAAAATTGAGGTACAAGAACCAAAATGTGGCTGTAGTCACTCTTTTTATTTTTCCTACAGGCAGATCCCTAGTAAAATAGCAAAAGCCATAATTAAAATAATAAAGTGTCTGTCGTCTTTTCCTCACTAAAATGAAGTACTCTGTCTACTAGGCTACATATCAGAAATGGAAAATGTGGTGTATCCTACCATCCCCAATCCCATCTGGCTAGGGCAGATGTCAACAATCAGCAATTTTCCTGCTGAGCTTAGATGGAGTTTACGAACATTTTATAATAAAGGGCATCAACTGATGGATTTAGTTCAGATTTTACTTGCTATTTTGTTATTATTCAGGCCATGGTTATAATATTGCTCACACATATATATGATAACTCAAAGAGTGTGCCTGGATTGTTTGCAATACAAAAGGTAAATGCTTAAGGGGACGGATACCCCATTCTCCATATGTGATTTTTATGTATTGTATACCTGTATCAAAACATCTCATGCACCCCATAAATACACATCCCTACTATGTACCTACAAAAATAAAAAAGCCATATATATGAAAGATGGTATTTAAAATGGTGCTGATACTCACAGCCAATCAGAGGAAACAAACCCAGTCAGGGTGTGTGTTTATAGCACCTACCTGGGCACCACTGTCATCTGAACTATCCCCAGAGCTCTGAGACTGAAGGAGGCTCTGATTTATACGGCTCAGCTCTTCTCTAAGCCTCACAACTTCCTCAGGCTTCATGGTCAACTGCTGTTCTTTTTCTTCATCTTTCATATCTCGATTCTGTTGTGAGCCCTCCTCCTTCTGCCCCTCTCTTGGAAAACTGCCCTCCTTTACTGACTCCTCTGGAATTTCCTTCTGCTTTCTTTCTCCTAATTTGGGACTTGGTGCAAATATAAAAATACAATCTATCAAAATGCTTATTAGAGTAGTAGAATTGGGAGAAAAAAAGCTACAAGTCAAGACAGTATTGCAAACAAGATTTTCAACCTGAATTCTATAGCACAGCAGTCATCTTATTCTTAAAAATAAACTTTAAAAACATAAGTCAGTCAGGCACGGTGGTTCACGCCTGTAATCCCAGCACTTTGGAAGGCCGAGATGGGCGGATCACCTGAGGTCAGGATACTGAAGACCAGCCTGGCCAACATGGTGAAACCCCATCTCTACTAAAAATACAAAAATTAGCCATGCGTGGTGGTGTACGCCTGTAGTCCTAGCTACTCAGGAGGCTGAGACATGAGAATCGCTTAAGCCCAGGAAGTGCAGGTTGCAGTGAGTCAAGATTGTGCTACTGCACTCCAGCCTGGGTGACAGAGTGAGACTCTGTCTCAAAAAATAAAAAATAAAAGAAAACCCACAAATGAGTCATATTTTTTACTTACACTCAGGGAGATGACCCATCATAGGTTTTCATTTATAGCCAAACCATCAGTTTAAATGAGTTTTATGCTTTTTCAACTTTTAGTATGGCATTGAGCAGACACAGGTTATAATGATTTTAATAAGCACTGGCCACTTTGGCAGGCACTAGGGCTTCAGGAGGACATGATCTCTGTCCCAAGCAGCTTACAATTTAGTGAGTAATGAGTAGTAAGTAATACAAGGCCTGATGGATGAGTAGGCACAAGCTAAACAAATGTAAAGGGAGGAAGGAGTGTGTATGTACTTGCATGTATGTAAGGATGTTGGGGAGGGTGGGTGTTGGTATAAATGAGAACATGAACAAGCAAAGGTGTTCCAAAATGATTTAATAAATAAGATATGTAAAACCCCGAAGTAAAAGAGAGAAGGTGCTTTAGAAAGATTATTTAGACGCCATGTGGCAGGGAAGCCATTTGACAGACTGTTGTAATAATCCATGTAATAAATAACAATAAATAAAACTATGATGAATTCTGGAGATATTTAAAAGACAGTATTGATAAGGTTTGTCATTTATTGGATGTGGCAGGTAAGGGAGAAAAATGAATCATCATGACACCAGGATTTCTGACTTGGGCAAATGGGCAAGTGGATGGTAGACCAACATGGGGGAATGTGGCCATAGACTGACTACAGAGATGTCTGTGGTGAGGATACAGACACAGAAGAATGTGAGCAGAAACACTGGGATTGGATAAAATGAACCAGGGAGAAGGGGGAAAGTAAGAGGAGGCAGATCATCCTAGAGAGAAGCCTAAAAACTTGTAAGGAACAAGCAGAGGAGGTGAAAGCCACAGAAACCAAGAGGAGAGAATGCGCCTTCAATGGTTAGAGAGTGTAGATGACAAGGAGAATGAACACAAATATGCTGGTTTTATTTTTATTCCCTCAATCTTAAATTTTGTTTTGAGTACCTTGAAACCTAGCACAGCATGCTTCATAGATTATAGCTGGTGATCAGATTCTTCAAGAAAGCAATTTGGCAGTACAGATCAAGAGCCATGGCCGGGTGTGGTGGCTCACGCCTGTAATCCCAGCACTTTGGGAGGCGAGGTGGGCAGATCGCCTGAGGTCAGGAGTTCGAGACCAGCCTGGTCAACATGGCAAAACCCTGTCTCTACTAAAAGTACAAAAATTAGCCAGGTGTGGTGGTGCATACCAGTAGTCCCAGTTACTTGGGAGGCTGAGGCAGGAGAATCTCTTGGACCCAGGAGGCAGAAGTTGCAGTGAGACGAAATTGCATCACTGCACTCCAGCCTGGACGACAGAGGGAAACTCTGTCACCACACACACACACACAAAGTCATAAAAATGTTCATACTCTTTGAATAATTGCATCTGAATGAATTTACTGCAATAAAATAATTCATAAGAAGAAAAAAGATGACTACAATAATGCTCATACTAAACAGATATGAAAATGGCTAAAAGAATTAAAGATGCTTCAACTTAAAAGTGACCTCAAGAGTATTCATAAACATGAAAACTACTTATCAAAGTAAAATTGTGGCACAAAAACCAATAAACATATATGTATTCATGTGTGTATGTACATACATATATACACACTATGGGAAAATGTCTAGAAAAAGCTGGAAAGGAACAGGGAGAAAAATTGTATCTAGGGAGTGCTTTATTCCTTTTAAAATTCCTCTAATACTATAAAGAAAATAATTAAATATTTTATTTTGAATTTAGCAGTTTTAAAAAGACAATATATTCAAATGATGCAAAACAGTATGAGATAAAGGGTAAAATGCCTTAAAATTTTTTTTATAAAACAACAATGAAAGTTTCCATCATTTATAAACCCCTTTCCGTTTCTATATCCAGTGGAAGCTAGACACACATTAAGACTGGGAAAATGCAAATGTATACCGTGTGTGTGTGTGTGTGTGTGTGTGTGGAGTCTCACTCTGTCACCCAGGTTAGAGTGTGGTGGGGCGATTATAGCTCACTGCAGCCTTGAACTCCCAGGCTCAAACAATCCTCCTGCCTCGGCCTCCTGAGTTGCTTGGATTACAGGTGTAAGCCACTGCACCAGTAGTTTCATATTTGTTTTAAATGGAGAAAATGGACTTTTTCTTTGAAAAAGATGAAGTAGACACACTTTCCCCCTATTTTTACCATTAAGTACAACTAAAAACCCTGAACATTATATATAAAACAAACATTAAAAGACTTCGAAAGGTGGAGAGAAGAAAGCAGACCAGCTAGGGAACTCAAGACCCAAGGAATGACATGGCTGTGAGTTTCCTGGGTGTTCTTTTTGCCTCACAGATCCCTGAGTTGGAGCTGAAGAAGACAGCAACCCAGAAAATGTCAACAAGCACAAGCAAAAACAGCAACAACAACAACAACACCAACAAAAGTTGCCATCTTTAGCCAAAGCACCAGAAAAGGCCAAGGAAGAAACACAATTTTGGACAACACCTACCTACTCCAGCTGAACATCACAGAAAAAACTGTGGCTTCACCTCCACTCATGCCAGCAAAGCCCAAACTGGGAGCCTAGTACAGTAGAAACCATGAGCGCTAGTCCTGTATCTTCCACCTACTATTTACGTAACCTTCCACAAGGCAGAATCACTCAGAGTCTCAATCTCTTCATTTGCAAGATGCCCTTTCCTTTCTCATAAGCTTTTTGGGATCTTTTGAAGTAAAATGTAAAAGCATTTTGAAAACCTACAAGTATAAGATATCATTAAAGTGAATTAAAGCCTAGTAGAACAGAATAGGGGTGGCTAATGATGAAACTTTGTTCCCACAGAGGAAGAAACAGATTCAGTCATTTATTTGTCAAATATATGTTGAATATCAATTATATGACAAGCACTACTCCATATACTAAGAATTCAAAAGGGTGATCAACACAGCCAGGTCTGTGCCCTCACAGAGCCTACATCTAGAGGAGGACAAAAAACAAACATGCAAACTAATAAGATAATTACAGACTATGAGAAGTCACAAACAAGGTGACATGGTAGAGTATTTGGAAAGTAGGAGTTACGATTTTCCTAGGCATGGCAGTTAGGAATTACCACTCTGAGAGGCAGTTAGCCACATGAAAAGCTGGGAGAAGACTATTCTGAACAGGGGAAACTTTTAGTGCAAAGGTCCTGAAGCAGGAACGTGCTTTAAAAGTTGGAGGATCTAAAAGGCAGCAAGATGAGGAGGAGGGAGGTAGAGGCCAAGTCATGGAGGGCCTTATGGGTCATGGTAAGGGTTTAGATTTTAAGTGCAATAGGAAGCCATGGAGAGGGTTTTAAGAGAGAGAACAATATTATTTGATTTGCATTTTAAAAAGACGATTTGGTTACTCCATGGAGAATGGATTGGGAGGAGGGTATGGAAGCAGGGAGGCCAATTAGGAAGATACATAACAGTCCTGATGAGTGATATCAGTGCTATGGAGTAGGGTAATAACAGTGGAAATATAGATAGAAGTGAACAGATTCAATATTTTATGTTTTCATTGCAGAAGTGACAGAATGTGTTGGTGGAACAGATGTGGGGAAGAATCAAAGGTGACTCCTAGGTTTTGACTTCATCAGCTGTGTGAATGGAGGGGCTATTCACTGAACAGATTGGACTGGGGAAGAAATAGTTTGGAAGAGGAGGAAAAATACATTGGTAGTCTGTGGAGGAGACAGAAAGTCAACATCATCAAGTTGAACTTGAAATTAAAATGGACTTGAACACTTATCAAACAATTCTTGATAAAAGTAGTAAGGATGCAATGAAATAGTGAATGAGAGTGTGTTGGAAAGAACAAAGCTCATGAAGGTCAAGGGAAGCCACCAGCTGTTCTGGCCCAGGCACAGGTTGAGATTAGCTGGGTTCTATAAGCTTGGGGCTGCCATCGAAATTCCAACTTTGGATTCAGTTGCAAGATAGTGCAATCATACACCCATTGTACACAGTAGGAGTAGGGGGAAAACTTCATTTATTCAAATATTTTGTGAGTACCTACTATGTGTCAGGCATTGTTCTAGACACTGGAGACATAGTCAAGAACAAGAGAGGCTGGGCTTAGAAGAGTTCCTCCCACCTTACCTCTCATGTTATACATATAGAGAGATTGAGCCCTAAGCAATTTTTCGGCACCATAAAGCTCATTTTCTGAGAAAGTGACCTAGAACACAAGTGTCCCAAGACCTTCTTGCCCTTAGGATATTTGTGACTACATCCTCTCCAAAGTGGATAAAGTAGTACTTCTCATGACTCAGAGTTAGGAGTCTTGGGTCCTCATCCCAGCCCTGCGAATAACTTGCTGTGTATGTGATTGTGAATGAAATAGTCATTTCAGTTTTCTTGGTCTCAGAGACCTCATTTGTGAAAAAAGAAGATTTAGCTAAATATCAGTGGTTTTCAAACTTATTTTAGCAGTGGACCCTTTGTTAAATTAAAAATCTTACACAAAACCCAATATATGAGACATAAAAGTGGAGCTTCTCTGGGTGAAATGGGAATGGAGGGCTCAATAGTCCCACTCATCATAAATTTACTCATAATTTATGAGTAAAATAAATTTCCTCATCTTACAAGGTAATTTCTGAGGCCCCTCTGCACAATTCCTAAAGTTTTGGGAAGTAGAAGTTTGAAAACTGCTAAGTTGGAAGATCTCCTGAAGGTGCCCCCAGTTCTAAGAGTCTGTTACTCTATGACAACAGCACTATAAACAGAAAAACAAGACATGGCCCATTACCTTAATACCTTAAAGGAGCTTAAAATCTAGTAGAAGAAATGTACTGTAAGAATCAATCAATCAACTTGGCTTATAAGCAGCTTCTGTGTGCATGAGACCATGCTAGGTATGCTGTACCACTTGCTACTTCACTTCAGTTGAAGACTCTGGCTCATGGCTCTCTGTCACCTGCTTCACCCCAAGTCCTGCCATTATAGTGGAAGATTGCAAGTCCCATAGAGACCACCCATGGATGCCTCGGCATTGCTTCTTTCATCTCCTTCTCTCTAATTACCTTCTTATCTCTCCTATTTTGCCAACTACTTGCATGACCATATCATGAGTTGTCAGCAGCAGCAACTATTTCACTTCTGAAATATTAAAATTAAATGTTAGATTCCAGCTTTTCCTTTCTATATTACTTGGTCCCAGGGCAATCATGGTATCTGCAATTCCTTGTCTCTTTTTCTATCAGTTTTACTGATAAAAAGTCCTTTTTTTACTTGCTTCCAAATCTAACATAGAGTTTAGAGTTCATTATTTCAATCACTGTCCAAATAAAATGGTCAACTCTCTTACTCCTTTGTCCTTCCACTGCACTCATGTGGCAAAACCTCAACCTTGGATCAATCCAACTGCCTTCTGTTGACTATACTAAACTACTGAATGTTACTAAAGAATATCATCTATTCTCAAAGACAGATGTTCTCTAGCCTGTTCTCATCTTCTCTATGCTACCAAACTCTGTAGTAGTTTCCTACTGTCCAGACTTCCTAACACAGGTCTTCATGTCCCTTCATTATCAGGCCTCTGCCTGCCTCTTCATTCTCACCATCCCCTTCCCCATTTCCTCACTTCACACTCCGTGCTATAGCAGCATAGAGGTCACTTTTAGGGCCTCAAACAAATCATGCTTTCTCTTGCACGTGCCATATCTCCCCTGAAAATTATTCTCCCATCTTTTTGCTTGGCCCCTGATTACTCAGACTTTTTCTAAGAATATTTTTTGATTCATTACCCTGGGCCAGGGCCCATGTTTTGTGTTTCCATTACTTCCAAACAAGGCATTCCAGTACTGCCTTGTTTAACCATTTTTCTCCATCAGACTATGTGGACCATAAGGATAAGAAACTGTGTCTTATTTTATATCCTCAGTACCTACGTACAGTGCCTGACACATAGTAAAATCACAATGTCTTGCCGAGTGTGGTTGTGTTATGGACCCATGATGAGGGGAGGCTGTGAAGAGAGGAATAGGAGACAAACAAGTAGGAAAACATTATGAGAAAAAAAGGAGAAGGAGGCAGATGGCAGATACCTAGACTTTTCAGAGTCCCAGTTATGGGAAGCAGATTGGACCAAGTCCTGGAAACAGGTGGCATCAAGGAGTTCTTAAGAGGGAAGGCCATTATCTTTCTTATGGCAAGGTTTCCCACCCCTAGATGAATTAAAGCTACATCCTTGCTCCCCAAGGCAAGTATCCCTGCCAATTACCCAAAATCACCTGGGTGGACTTTTGTCAGATTTGATTATTTATGTCAGCTCCTTCTTGAAGAACTTTCAGATTGACCATTTCATCTTCATTGCCACTTACTCAATGTAGGCAACCATCTCTTCATCTATCACACATATAGATTAATTGGTCTATCTTCCATCTCCATTTTATCTAATAAAGAGATACTAGAACAATCTTCCTCAAAAATCCTGTAACACACTGTTCCAGTGCTCAAGAACTAGACTTTCTTTTTCCCTACAGTAAACCTAAATGCTGTGATGTGGCTGCTTGGCTCTCTGTTTTTGTGACCATTATCATACGCCTTCCCCATCATCTCTCCATATGCTCTCCCACATCTCCAACTAGGTTTCATGATTGTGAATCTTAGACTCAAAGCTTACTCTAAAGTTAAAAGCAACTTTTAGGAGGGCATAATATTCAGGAACCCCAAACTGGCAAAACAATCTCCTTCTATCTTTAGAACATTTACAAACATTTAGAACATGAATTTGTCTACACCTAGACTATATTTTCTCACTTCATTGATGAATGTATCCTTTAGTATGGTATATGTCAAAATGGACATCATCGTTTCCTTTTGATTATTTAGTTCTAAACTTTTTCCCAGACAAAATTTGATTGCAACTATTAACTTAAGTGCCCAAGAAGAGTGGTGCACTTGCCAAAACCTCGTGGTTCCATGAAAGGTACTTTTGGTTAAAAAAGTAGAAGTACAGGAGCTAGAGGGCAAAATTAACAAGATAGATAGACACACAGATCGATAGAGAGACAGATAAATAAGAGAAAAGTGGTCAAAAAATTATCAAATGCAATGTTAGAGACAGCAAAAAACAAACTGTGCAGAATATAGTCATAATTATATAAAAATATACACATATATGTGTACATATACAGAAAAAAGAAAGAAAAATTAGGATGTTAACATCTTTCCGGGGTGAGAATTAACAGTTGTTATAATCTCCTTATACTTTTGCATGCTTTCTAAATCTTCTAATAAAAGGAGATATACACACACACACACACACACATATATATATATTTGTTTTTGTTTTTGTTTTTTTGAGACAGAGTTTCACTCTTGTTGCCCAGGCTGGAGTGCAATGGCATGATCTCAGCTCATCACAACCTCCACCTTCTGGGTTCAAGCGATTCTCCTGCCTCAGCCTCCCGGGTAGCTGGGATTACAGTCATGCACCACCACGCCCAGCTAATTTTGTATTTTTAGTAGAGAGACGGGGTTTCTCCATGTTGGTCATGCTGATCTCCAACTCTTGACCTCAGGTGATTCGCTTGCCTCGGCCTCCCAAAGTGCTGGGATTACAGGCGTGAGCCACTGCGCCAGGCCGCATATACTCGTTCTTTAAAGGCAGGAAAAAAGTTTTAAAATGTAATAATATATCAAAAGACAAACTTTTTGGAGAATGTTATAACTAATTTTTCCACTCACATAATTTGGAAATGAATATCAAATTATTATTATTATTTTGAGACAGGGTCTGGCTCTGTTGCTCAGGCTGGAGTGCTGTGAGTGACACAATCATGGCTCACTACAATCTCTACCTCCCGGGCTCAAGCAATCTTTCCACCTCAGCCCCCCGAGTAGCTGGGACTACAGACACACACCATCACGCCAGGCTAATTTTTGTTTTTTGTAGAGATGGGATTTGCCATGTTGCCCAGGCTGGTCTCAAACTCCTGAGCTCAAGCCATCTGCCCACCTCAGTCTCCCAAAGTGCTGGGATTACAGACTTAAGCCACTGTGCCCAGCCGAATATCAAATTCTTATAATGATCAAGCCAAATAAAATATACCCCCTCCGAATAATTAATGTGATATAGGATTTTCCCAATTTACCAGAGTTCCTCTCTCTCTTCCTTTGGGCTTTGAATTTCTATTTCCAAAACTGGTTCATTAGACTCAGGATCTTTACAGATATTTTCACTTGTAATTAAATTAGAAGGTGCAGTTTTCCCCCTGAGAGTAAAATGATTTAATTGTGCAAATTCTTGTGAAAGCTTCAAGACCTGCAAAATTAAGTGAAAAGACAAATATTCTATTTTGCATACTTTTATTTATAGTTGTGAAAAAAGTATATTGATTTCATTAAATGCTTAACTATAGGCTTATATAATATCAAATGACATCCTAATTAAATTCTGATTCCAACTTAATTTAATACTTTGCAGTTGTTATATAACTTAATTGATTTTTTTAACCATAGGCATAAGGGTACGTAAATTCCCATTTTTTTTTTTTAAAAAAAGGTATTTTTGGTCTCTGGGGTTGGGCTGTCAGAGTGCTGTTTAGCATTTGGTTATACCTTTTAACAAGCACAAATATGTGATCTACAGAGTTTTACACTATTACCACACATTTTTGTTTTCAAGTTTTGAATGTACTTCATTGATTCACAAAAGCAATAATATATAATAAAAAACAATAATATATTGCTGCCAGAAAACATTAGAAAGAATATTAGATATATCTTGCAGAGGTGTCTTCTGTATCTATAAGAATATTAGATATATCTCACAGAGAAGAGCTTTCTTCCACAGTGGTTCTCAAATCACTATGATGTAAGAGCATCCACTGAAGAATTTATTAAAAATGCAGTCTTGGCCGGGTGCCGTGGCTCACACCTGTAATCCTAGCACTTTGGGAGGCTGAGGCAGGTGGACTGCTGGAGTGCAGAAGTTCAAGATCAGCCTGGGCAACATGGAAAGACGCTGTCTCTATGAAAAATTAGCTGGGCATGGTGGTGGTGTGCATCTGTAGTCCCAGCTACTCAGGAGGCTGAGATGGAAAAATGGCTTGAGCCTGGGAGGTGGAGGTTGCAATGAGTCAAGATCAGGCCACCGCACTCCAGCCTAGATGACAGAGTGAGACCCTGTCTCAAAAATAAAAATAAAAAATAAAATATTTGTTAAAGAAAATGCAATCTTATATTGTAGCCCCTACCCTGAGTGAGATTCACTATCAGTGGTCTGGGGCGAGGGAAGGGGTAGAATGGAAATCTGTACTTTAAATAAGCCTCCCATGTAACTCTGCAAGTAGATGCTTTGACAGTCACTGCCTTTTGTGACTTGGCAAATCATTTGTTCAGTCTTTTTGTTTTGTTTTGACAAACAGATTCTAAAGATTTCCTTTCCTGTAAGGTTACTCTATATCTTCATATAAAATGAAAAAACATTTCCTTCAGGGAGTAGAAAGGATGGGTGGGGAATGAGTCTAAGAAAGGAAGATGGGCTAGGTGCAGTGGCTCATGCCTGTAATCCTAGCACTTTGGGAGGCTGAGGTGGGAGGACTGCTTGAGGCCAGGCGTTTGAGTCCAGCCTAAGCAACATAGCAAGACCATGTGTCTGTACCCAAATAAACAAACAAATAGAATGGAATAAAAAATAAGAAAGGAAAATGAATCCCCATCAAAGTATTGTGCTAAGGTAGACAACAGCCTGCCTGACTCATATCCTGAGGCTGTCTGAAAATGCAAAGCTTCTACATGTTTGATTCTAAGAACACAATGGACTTAATTACAAAGATCAATTTAAGTTTACTTTAAGAGATCCCTTTGGTTTCCTACGCCTTTTCAATTCTCTGAAGAGAAACTACAGTGTGTAAAATGGATTCTAATCTCATAAAATCCATGTAATTTCATATGGACTATAATCTTTCTAGGGGAGAAGGTTGGTCTTGAATTAGTCAAGTTGGGAAGATATGGATAAGAGAAGAGACTACAAATAGCACATTTTAAGCATGGGGAGCAGTATGGTCAAAGGCACTGACGTAGAACGGAGTATAGAGTAATTTGGGGGAAAGTAAGAAGGATGATTTCATTGGAATAGAGGCTACAAAGTAAGGAGCTGCAGGAATAAGGCAAGATTGCAGGAGTTTGAGACCAGCCTGGCCAACATGGTGAAACCCCATCCCTACTAAAAATAGAAATCAGCCAGGTGTGGTGGTACCTGCCTGCAACCCCAGTTACTTGGATGGCTGAGGCATGAGAATCACTTGAACCTGTGAGGTGGAGATTGCAGTGAGCCAAGATCATGCCACGGCACTCCAGCCTGGAAAACTGAGTGAGAAAGAAAGAAAAGAAAGGAAGGAAAGAAGGAAGTGAGGGAGGGAGGGAAGGATGGAAGGAGGGAAAAAAGAAAAAAAGAAGGCTGGTTGCGGTGGCTCACACCTGTAATCCCAGCACTTTGGGAGGCTGAGGCAGGCAGATCATGAGGTCAGGAGTTCAAGACCAGCCTGGCCAACAGAGTGAAACCCCGTCTCTACTAAAAATACAAAAAATGAGCTGGGCGTGGTGGCAGGTGCCTGTAGTCCCAGCTACTCAGAAGGAATAAGGCAAGATTGAAGGGAGAGGTCAGATTATAAAGGAACATAAAGGACAATTTTCTTAATGAGCTTGCATTATTTTTGTAAGCAGGAAAAAATATTCCAAAATGCTACTTAATCACTAATTTTTGTGGTCATTGTAAAAAAGTAAACATTACAGATAATAAATGTTAGTCTCTTAAGAAGTAAAGAAAGGCAGCCTGGCAAAATAGGGAGACCCTGTCTTTATTAAAGAAAAATTTAAAATTAGCCAGGTGTGGTGCCGGGAGACTGAGGCAGGACAATCACTTGAGGCCAGGAGCGGGAGGTGAGTTATGATCTTGCCACTGCACTCCAACCTGGGTGATGGAGAGACCTCATCTCGGAAAAAAAAAAAAAAAAAAAAAAAAAAGATAAAACAGTGGAGTTTAGATTTGATGTTATAGCAAACTGAAAGCTGCTGAGGGTTTCTGAAGAGGATGGTGACACTAACACAGAGCATTTTCTAGGTATTCTGAATTCTCACATGACAAAGTAGTGTATATCTTAAGTGAGTAGAAGCTTTATTCTTTATAACAAAGAAAGTTAAAGCCATCAGACCCTCCATGACATGGATATTGTGGAACAGGACCAACTCTGTTCCAGACTTCTTCCTACCAAAATTGTATCTTAGTGATACAGCTCAGTTTAATAATCAGCCATGTTTAAGTAGCATGAGAATTAAGCTGATGGTTCCACTTTCTGATTGAGGCCTTAGGCTAGGGTAGAAAGAGCATAGGCTGAGAATTACCACGTAACTCAGCAGCAGTCTAATATCCCTGGGCCTTGGTGTTCTTATGTGTAAACTGAAAGAGTTGGCCTACATGATCATACTCCTTTCAGTTCTAAAATTCTGTATGAGTCTAGACGTTGTAACCCAAACAAAATGACAGCCTGTAAAATGGGGGATTCAGCAAATACATACAACTTCTTTAGCAAGACTATCTTTAAGTCTAAAGCACTCTATATTCTGAAGAAAAACTAGAATATAATATAAAAATCAAAGATTCAAAACAGAAACTTTCAATGAGTAAAAGTTTGATGGGAAACATAACACATAGTCTCAAAGTATCTCCCCAAAAGATATTTATGAATTGCAAAGACAAAAGTAATAACTTTGTAGTGGAGAAATCTAGCAGACAGTACCTTAACCAAATGATCCAAGTTAATATCATAAGTAATAGAAAAAAAATGTCATGTCTCCTGATAAAATACACTGAGAAGGATACAACATTATCTCTGTAGTATGGGTAATCTGAATTATATTGTGAGAAAACATCAGACAAATCCAAATTAAGAGACATTCTTCAAAATCAATGGTCTTGTTATACACTGCATGTTTGTGTTGACTCAAAGCTCATATGTTGAAAGCCTTACCCCCAATGGGATGGTATTAGGAGGACCCACTGGCAAGTAATTAATTCACAAGGGTGCAGCCCTCAGGATGGTAGTAGTGCCCTTATGAGAAGAGACAGGAAAGAGCTTGTACTTTCTCTCTCTGCTCTTGGCTATGTGACGATACAATGAGAAGACAGCTGTCTGCAAATCAGGAAGAATGCCCTCACCAGACACTGAATATGCCATCTTGATCTTTGATTTTTCCCAGCCTCTACAACTGAGAGAAATAAGTATTTGTTGTTTAACCTACCCAGTCTATGGTATTATGTTATAGCAGCCCAAACTGACTAAGACAGTACTCTTCAAAAATATCAAAGTCATGAAAGACAAAGACAGACTGAGGAACTTTTGCAGATTGAAGGAGCTATAGAGACATGACAATTAAATGTAATGTATGATCCTGGGTTGGATCTCAGATAGGAAAAAAGTTATTCTCTTGCAATAGAGGGGAATAATTGGTAAAATCTGAATATGAGCTATAGATTAGATAATAGTATTGTGTCAATGTCAATTTCCTGATTTTGAGACTTGTACTGTGGTAATAGGAGATGTTACTGTTTTTAGTAAACCCACATGGAAATATTTAAGGGTAAAGGAGGTTATGTCTCCAACTTACTCTCAAAGGGTTTACAAAAAAACTATCAGTGTGTGTGTGTGTGTATGTGTGTGTGTGTGTGTGTGTGTGTGTGTAGAGGGAAAGAGAGACAGTGATAAGGTAAACACGATACCATGTTAACATTTGGAAGAATTAAAGTATATGGGAATTCTTTATACTTTCATAATTTTTTCTGTGAGTCTGGTATTATTTCAACATAAAAAGTTTAAGAAAAAAGGAGACCCAGATCACCAGAAGAGCAGATTTGGATCTCTTCATTTTATATTATATTCTTCTCATTTCAGCTCATCTGTTGTTAACTTTGTCAATGATGTTTTAAAAGGCATGGTCCTTTAACTGTACAACATGATGATAACTTACCTTGCTGACAAGGTCCCACAAAAAAGGCTAGGTTGTATATTAAGCTCTACATATTTACTCTCCCAGGCAGCAGACCCTATGTTCTGGACCTTTCCCTCCCATGTCACATGCCATCTGATCTATGTCCCAATCCCTCAGCAACCTGCTCCTGATTTTCTGGGGTAACTACACACAGCTTAAATTAGGCTTTGATTTAGTTATTCACCTTACATATGACATTAAAATATGGCCTAATATATTTTAACTGCTGTATTCAAGACTTTGCTCCTTAATCTGTAGTCTAGGTCAAAAGAGTGATTGAGGAAGGGAATTTTCAGCCAGGAGGTGATAGTGATAACCTAATAGGTGGGACTCTAGAAATTATACAGGCAACCTTTCAGTCTAGTATTGGACTAGATAAGAATTCTTTGCCCTGGTCAGGTAGCCTTTTTTTTTTTTTTCCAAGAGATGTGGTCTCACTATGCTGCCCAGGCTGAAATGCAGTGGCTATTCACAGGCACAATCATGGTACGCTACAGCTGGGTGCAAGCAATCTCCCTGGAAGCCATTTTTAAACTTAGGGAACAAGCTTGAATCAGGATATTTGAACATTTTCCTAATTCTAAGCCCAATTTTCAGTGTAACTGAGAAAGACACTTTGATCCTAAATTTTTAAATTGAAGACATTTAAATAAATATTTTACACTATAATATGTGCTCCAAAAATTAAGTTGGTGGGAAGCTGATTTAAAGTAAAAAAAATTGCAGATTAATCCTAATTGCCAAGTACTGGTTGAAGTCTGAATACTTATCCTGACGTATAGCTTGACTCATAATCCACAGTATATGGCAGTATATGGCAATTTATGCTATAAAAATAGAAGAAACTCCAATTCCCAAATCATCTGATGCTTAAAATTAATTTCCTTGTATCCTATCCTCATAAAAGCTACGTTAAGTATTGAACATTTAAATACCTAACTCAGTCTCACCTTTGTTTCTAATTCAGAATTCTCTCTTCGTAACAGGTCACATGCTATTAAAAAATGGTCTCTGCTTTCTGATGCCCCTGGGAGACTGTGAACTTCATTATAAAGGCATATAAGCTCTGACTTTGATTTTTGCAATTCCTGATTAAGAAATGAAGACATTTAGTAAAACAAAATAAGACTATTTTCCCCATAAAAGATATAATACTTCTACGAATGAATCTTAAAATGGTCCTGACAAATTTTTTGTTTTAAATATTCCAACCTATCCTTCTGGCAGACCGATGCCTTTCTTAGTAGTTAAAACAAAGTTTACATAAATCAATTAAATCAATTATTAAATCAATTAAATAAACTGAGCATTCTTAGTTTCTATCATTCACAGGTTGAAAGATTTAGTTTCTAGAGTCCTTCCTACATTAAGCAAGGCTTATATACAGGTAAATTCTTTGGCAATGCTTGCAACGACTGCCAATAGTTATATTATCTGTTTCTAAAATGTATCTTTTTAGAAGTACCAGTTATAGAACAAAGTGCTATGTGGTTTACCTTTAATGTTCTGATAACCTTATAAGGGAATTGTTGAAAGTAAGGCTCTGAGATCTTAAGTGACCTGCTAAATTCACATAGCCAGGAAGTATAAAGCTGAGATTCCAAATCCATAAATCTGTCAGACTTTAAACTCTGTGGTTTTTTTAAAAAAAATTTATTTATTTATATTGATGCGGTCTCACTATGTTGCCCGGGCTAGAGTGCAGTAGCTATTCACAGGTGTGATCATGGTGCACTATAGTCCTCAACTTCTGGGCTCAAACCATCCTCCTGTCTCAGCCTCCCAAGTACCTGGGACTATAATAAGGGGGCCATGATGCACAGCTTAAACTCTGTGTTCCTAACTACAAATTATGCTTATTTAATTATATTCAGTGACTTAATTAACCAGGATTTTCTTTAATCCTCTGATGTTTTTTCTCTTTCTCTTTTTTTTTTTTTCTTTTTTGAGACAGGGTCTCACTCTCACTGGAGTGCAGTGGTGCAATCACAGCTCACTGCAGCCTTCACCTCCTGGGCTCAAGTGATCCTCCCACCTCAGCCTCCTGTGTAACTGGGATTACAGACACATGCCACCACACCTGGCTAACTTAAATTTTTTTTCTTTTTTTTTTTTTCTGTGGAGACAGTGTCCCACTATGTTGCCTAGGCTGGTCTCGAACTCCTAGTGATCCTCTTGCCTCAGCCTCCCAAAGTGCTGGGATTACAGATGTGAGCCACTGTGCCCAGCTTGATTTTTAGAAATATATATCCATGAGAGAAAACACTTTGGCTAAATGCAGATTTCTTTTTTTTTTTTTTTTTTGAGATGGAATTTCGCTCTTGTTGCCCAGGCTGGAGTGCAATGGTGTGATCTCGGCTCACTGCAACCAGGTTCAAGCGATTCTCTTGAGGTACAGCCTCCGGAGTACCTGGGATTATAGGCATGCACCACCACGCCTGGCTAATTTTGTATTTTTAGCAGAGACAGGGTTTCTCTGTGTTGGTCAGGCTGGTCTCGAACTCCTGACCTCAGGTAATCCACCCACCTCGGCCTCCCAAAGTGTTGGGATTACAGGCGTGAGCCACCTTGCCCAGCCTAAATGCAGATTTTTATCAGATTTTTACACTGATGACACAGGATGTGCACTGATTGATTGGTGGAAGACTTTGGGTTGAGAGTCAGTCTGTGGTGCTCAATGAAGGGAATAGGTTATATAAAATTTACTTTAGGAGAGGAGCTGCTTGGTATTTTCCCGAAGACTTGAAGTCAAAGTGGAAAGTAAATGCTGATTAGAAAGGCTTAGACAAAAGGCAAGAAGGTAGAGGGTGGCCTCCCAAAACCACGGGAAGACGGTAAATGATAATGATTTCCTATCTTATTTCACTGAAAATTCCTGTAGGTCATTAGGATGAGATTAGAAGCACTGCAAACTATAAACTGATTGAGTGTCACTGTCCTCTAAATTACTGATTTTGACTTCTATGAACTTACTTCCAGGTCTCTTTTCAAAATATAGGCTGATTGTATCTCCTGATAGATCTTTCTAAGATGGCAGGACAAGAGGTTAAAACGAGAGATAAGTCCATGACTTTATAAGAGAGATAAGCCCAACACTACAACAATCAAACATCTGCTAAATAAAGGACTCTTTGATTAGTGCTAGAACTCAGCTTGGAGAAACAACAGAGCTACCGCATTATTATTATAGAAACACATATTCTATAGTGCTATGGACTGAATTGTGCTCTCCCTCCCTACTCATATTGTTGAAGCCCTAATTTCCAATATGGACTGTATTTGGAGATAGATAGGGTTGATAGGGAGGTGATAAAGGTCAAATGAGGATAGAAGGGTGGGGCCTTAATCCAATAGGGTTAGTGCCTTTATAGTAAGAGGAAGAGACACCAGAGCTTGCTCACTCTGTCACGTGAGGACAGAGCAAGAAGGTAGCCATCTGCAAGCCAGGAAGAGAACCCTCACCAGGAACTGACTCGGTTGGCACCTTGATCTTGGACTTCCCATCCTCCATAACTGTGAGAAAATAAAATTCTGTTGTTTGAGCCACCTAGTCTGTGGTATTTGGTTATGGCATCCCAAGCTGAGATGTACAGTTATACTTCATTTTAAAATGATAACATGAAATCCCTAAATTAGAACTACAACAAGAAGAAAATAGCTTCCTGAATGGTAATACCTCACTTTCAGCTTTCAAGGCCTTCTCTGCAGTGTCAAGACCAGATGCCAACTGCTTCTCTCTCTCTCTCTCTTTTGACCACTCACTTTCAAACATTTCATTTTTTTCGTGGCTCATTTTCAAGATCTGTAAAAAGCATTTTACATAAATAATTTTATATATAATAGCAGTGTTTCCTACAAATTCTGATGATAATTTTCTAACTCAATAATGAAATCATTCAGGGCATTTATGAATCTAGGAAAACTAGTTTATAGCTCATAAGATACGTTTTTCTCTCCAAGCCTTAATTTACACAATAGTAAAATGTAGTAACACTTGTTCTACCTACGTTATAGCCATCATGGCAGGAATAAAATGTGATTTTGAAAGTATTTTATAAAATTTAATCACTTATCAAATATAAGGCATTATTGAAATCTTTCCAAATTATTTGAAAATAATAAAAATTGGAGTCATAATGATACCAGCTACTTTATATTGAGGACTTACCACATGTCAGAGACTATGGTAAGTATGTTAGATGCATTATTTCATTTTGTTTTTCTAGGACCCCTATGAGATTGGAATTATTGTTACATTATTTTTACAGAGGAGACATGTGAGGCTTAGATATGTTACATAATTTGTCCAAGTTCACACAGTCAGCACTGGGATTCTAAGTCAAGTCTAACTTAAATCCCTTACTTTTAATATCTACTCTGTTCAGCCTTGCCAAAGTGAGTTTTCTCTTATGTACAAAAACCTATTAGGAGATAAAATTAAGATCAAAATACAACTTAGGAACACAACAAAAATTCAGCCAATTTCTTTGATGATCACACTATCACCAAGCAGCAGACCCCTCTCCATTGTTTATTTTTTAAATTTTTTAAAAATTATATATATTATATATAACATATATAAGATATATATAATATATATATAATATAATATACGTATATAAAATAGTGATGGGATTTTGCCATGTTGCCCGGGCTGTTCTCAAACTCCTGGGCTCAATCGATGCACTAGCTTCGGCCTCCCAAAGTGCTGGGATTACAGGTGTGAGACACCGTGCCTGACCCCTCTCCATTGTAAAAGCCAACCTGTCAAATGAACTAATTGCACGTTTGGTTTGGCCAGTCAGGAAGCAGCTGAAATTGGCACATCTATACTTGGTAACTTGGGAAATGCAGAGTAGTATGTAGGAACAGCCCTCCCAGTCCTGTTCTACTGGTTTCCAACAGTGGCATCCTGAGCTAGTTACTTCACTTTTCTTAGCCTTAGTTCTTCATATTAAAAATAAAGATAATGAGGCCTGGACATATATGGGCTCCTCATTTATAGAAGATGCTCTGTAAGTGGCAGTTTATATTATTATTGGATTGTTCTGATTTTTACATTCATTCGTTAGTAAGGCAATGCCTTTAAATCATCCTTATAATTTCAACACACCAACTTATCCTAAATACATTAGTAAATGGGCTCTTTACTGATTGACTACTCCTAGCAAGGTTTTCTGTAACCATTGGTCACAATCATAGGATGTATATTCCTAGAAGTGTGCTTTCTCCTTTTGCCTATTTTCAGTCATTCTTGAGCATCCTTATGGTGTCTGCCTTACCTGTATTAGAAAATGTAACTGAAAATTATCCCTTTTTTCTTACCTCATTCAAATCTTGTACTTTGTCTCTTGATCTTTTGTACTGGTTTCTCTTCTATCTTTCTATGTTACTGATAATTCAGGCTCTAAAATGGAAGTCTTAATCTAAATAAATCACCAGTTACAAAATGTCATTTTAAAAAATACTGAAAAAGGCCGGGCGCGGTGGCTCAAGCCTGTAATCCCTGTCTCTTATACACATCTAGATGTGTATAAGAGACAGGGTCAGGAGATCGAGACCATCCTGGCTAACACAGTGAAACCCTGTCTCTACCAAAAAAAAATACAAAAAACTAGCCGGACGAGGTGGCGGGCGCCTGTAGTCCCAGCTACTTGGGAGGCTGAGGCAGGAGAATGGCGTAAACCCGGGAGGCGGAGCTTGCAGTGAGCTGAGATCCAGCCACTGCACTCCAGCCTGGGCAACAGAGCAAGACTCCATCTCAACAACAACAACAACAAAAAACAAAAAACAACAAAAAAAGCTACATTTCTTAAGCATCTTCTTCTGAGGTAGTAGCCCTGAAATCGTTTCCTAGCAACAAGTTTCACCTCCTATCTGGTCTTGAATCCTTTAGAGATTTGCTTTATTATGGATTTGAGACTTCGCTGTTGTTTGGTAGCTAAGCCAAAGAGAACAAGTACTAGAAAAATACACTACAGAATCTTGATTGTTCTGAATTAATCAAACTACTAATTTACCTTTCTTATGTTTAATGTCAGTAAAACAGAAATAACAATCCCAAGCTGATGAGTTGGAAAGAACAGGGAATGCTACTAGAAAAGTGGATACTAACATCTTAGTGTAACTTTTACAATTCCTCCTGTCCAGTGGTATGGACAAAAGATGTAGTCAAGGATCATGTCAGCTTAGTAGCACTGCACAAGGAAATGGAGAAGAATAAATATTTTTTCCCAGAGTACCTTCTCCCATCAGCCACCATCTGCACTGGTGAATATTTTTTTCAAATTCACACATGACATGCTGATGCATTCAACACACAAGGCAAGAATTCATTTAAGCTCCACCCTTATGCCACCTGAGATGCTTCAGTACAAAGCAGAAGAAACATCTCAACTCTCAAATATGAACCCCCCCTCATTTTCTTTGTCTTTTCCTAGAGTAAGATTGTCATGTATTTCAATGCTATAATTTTTAAAAGATAGCTTTCCCAAAGAAGATATATTTAAAATTTACCATAATTTGTGGCACATTGAATATAGTTATGCCTTTAGGCAATTTATGTACTTAATGAGCCCAGTAACCAAAGTTTAAAGCAGAAAAACACAAGAAAGGGGCAGCAAATAATGTGAGAGATGAGCAATAGGACACAGAGATCTCTGGGTAGCTGAGGGAGCCTACCTCACCTGCCAGCCAGCAGTAAACAAAGAGGACTAATGACTTAGCATGGGTGGCTCCAACGACTCTGGAGATGGTGTAACAGCTCAGAATTTTCCACTTCCAATATTCTACTCTCTGACAGGTGGGGATCACCTAATGCTCTGAACTAAACTATGCCTCCCTGCATAGTATGACAACGTTTATTGTCGACCCACTATGTGCTTGCATTGTGCTGCGCCCTCTCACAGACACAGTCAGATGAAAAGACGAACGCAGGCACTGTGGAAAATAAAATACTGCCTGGGCATCACCTGTAGGTGGAGGTGGTTTATGTGCTCAGTGTTGGGCATGCTGTTCCCCCATGAGTTATAATAAGTCCTCTATATAAATCTCCTCTATAAGTTGCCACAAGAGTTGGTACGGTGTAGAAAATGAGCCCTGGGGCCGGATAAACCTGGATCAGCTCCTGGCTGCAACTATCACTTTGGTCAAGTTCCCTTAAGTTCTAACAAATACGAAATGGGAATGCTCCTGCTTACTTCAGTGAGGGCTGTTTAAGATATGACAAGGTTTCTCTTCAAACAACCTAATTAATCCTTTATTCTTTAATTCTCAATACCCCCTCCACCTCTCTTTCTTCTTCTTCTTTCTTTCTGCTTTTACTACATGCCCAGGCATGCCACAATACCAGTGACATTATCAACACCAGCTCACATTCCTTTCCTTATTTTTTAAAAAACTGACTCTCTAACTTGCCACAGACAACACCTTCCCTTTCTCTCCTCTCTCCCTTACATGCCCACCTTATCTAAAAAAAAGTTTAAATGTTTAGCCAATCAAGTCTAGCTTAAATTATACAGCCCAACCCCAGCCGGTGGGGAAAGAGCACAGGGACAAGATTTACGTCGAAAATAAAAATTTTCACTCTCCTTTATTCTATATGCTCTTGTAATGACCAGCCATACAGGAGGCATCCCTCTGCACAAAAATAAATTTGCTTTGCTGAAAAATCCTTTATCTAAGTGCTAATTTTCCTTACAACTCCAAGCTCTATTTCTAACAGGCTGTTATTGGGATTAAATGAGATTATGTTTGTTAGACACCTAGAACAGATCATGACACATGACAGACGCTCAATATATTGTGGCTATTATTTTTCCTACCACATACCTAGCATTTCTTCTATTTTAAGTATATTCTCTGAGAACATGCATAATAACAGCACTAAGATGGTCTATTTAGTGATAAGTCTGTCTCCATAGAGAAATGAGTAAGGAACACAGTTACATCTTGAGAACAGTGCTTGATATAAGGAAATTATTTCCTAAATTATTTTTCCTTTTTAAGCCACAGGACTCCCCTGTCCCCTTTATTTTCAGAATAATTCTTATGGAAAAACCCTTTACAGAGTTCCCAGAAGTGGAGATTTCTCTGACTGATGTGGAGGTAGAAGACCCAGAGCTTTCTATCTATGGAACATCAAAGATCCCTGGAACACAGTTTGGAAACCATGATGGCAAAAACAGTAAGTCTTTTTTTGTTTGTTTTTTAAGAGACAGGGTCTCACCATGTTGCCCAGGCTGGTTTCAAACTCCTAGGCTCAAGCAATCCTCCTGCCTTGGCCTCCTGAAGTGCTAGGATTACAGGTATGAGTCACTGCGCCCAGCTAAAACATAGGTCTTGTAGTCAGGTTGAGATTTGAAATCTTGACTTTCACATTTACAAATCTGTGATCTTGGTTTTCTCATCTGTAAATCAGGGTGAACAATACCTACCCTCTCTGAATTTCTGTTGAAATAAGTTATGTCAAACCCCCAGGAGAGGCATTACAACACTGTAGAGACTCATATATTAGTTTCCATCTGTATTTGACAGGGTTCTTCAGAGAAACAGAACCAACAGAAGATTATATATATATATATATATATAATGATTTCACTATCATTCAGGCTGAAGTGCAGTTGTATGATCGCAGCTCACTGCGACCTCTGTCTCTTGGCACAAGCAATCCTCCCACCTCAGCCTCCTCAGTAGTTGGAACTACAGGCAAGTGCCGCCACGCCAGGCTAATTTTTGTATTTTTTTTGTAGAGGTGTGGTTTTGCCATGTTGCCCAGGCTGGTCTCAAACTCCT